AACCTAAAGTCAACGCCTAACACGCGTCGCCGGGTAGTCTATTCCCGTGAGAAAGACGAAATCTACGTATTCAATATCGTAGCACTAGAGAGGCGTTAATCTCTTAGCACAACGTCACATGCGGAACGGATTTTAGATAATCCGCATGCTAGCCAGATTCAAACGGTAGTCGGTAAAGGCTCATCAAACCCGTTGATGGCTGAGGTTGGCCAAAAATCCTATAAATGCGAGGGTCACTGACATATCAGCTTCATTAATTGGTCTCGTGACTGAGCAAGCGTACGACGTTCAAACCCTAAGGTTAACGCTGGACAACCGCGTAACGCCTAGGTCAACGCCATTCAACGCGTTGCGATCAAAAAGTCAACGTACGACGTTCAAAACCCTAAGGTTAACTGCGGACAACGCGTAACCCTAGGTCACGCCTATCAAATGCGTTGCAATGAAAGAATCAATACTCCGAAAAGTATACGCAGTATAAACTGCTTCTTAATACTCCAATAAGGTCATATGAGTATAACTGTTCCTAATTTTCGTTGAGAAGTCCTGGAGAATATTTTTATTCTTAAGGATAACTCAACAACACGACACGGACAACGCGTTGCACGATAAAGACTCGACGCCAATGCGATGGTCAGCTAAAGATTAGCAAAGTAGGAATCGACTTAAGTTTAAAATTTCGAAGCAACGGTCAGACAATAAATATAGCACCGGAACTCTAGCGGACATTCGATCAAAGCACCGAATAGCCTGGAGAATTGAAGAATCAAGAACAGAAGCCATTCCGAGGTCCCGTACACGACTGAAGGTTGGGACATATCATATCAAGTATTCAGCTCTTTTATAAAAGAACGAGACTGAAATACTTTGGAGGGGTATCTAGGCATCTAAAATTGCTTATAGGTCCTTAGCACAGCTCGGCACAAACCGACAAAACCAACGAGGCGACGAGGATCGACGAATCGCACTCAAGCAACGAATGCATCCATTCGGTGCCGAATCAAGCCAACGGTTCGGGAGTCAACGAGTCATCCAAACAAGAGCGGACTATGATGAATCACGACCGAATCAAGATCGGTTTCGGACTCGAACTCAAAGTGGATTACTGCCAAATCAGGAATCCGACTTACTGCAAATCAGGTCAACGAGTCAAGTCTGAATCAACCAAATCACGGACCGGAACCGGAAAATGGACACACGCGCAAAACGACAGAAAACCCAACACCTAGGAGGCTCGGCCTAAGCCGAGCCACCCATGGGTGGCTCGGTGGCCGAGCCACCCGTGGGTGGCTCGGCCAAGGCCGAGCCCCGTGGGTGGCTCGGCCAAGAGCCGAGCCACCTATGGGTGGCTCGCGCCCAGTGCCGGCCACCTATTGGTGGCGATACTATTCCGTGCGCGCGGCCAGTAAAGAGGCCTACAAATGCCAAGGGTTGTTTACTTTCAAAGGTTGGAAAATTTGGGAACTTTCAAGAGCCGAAACTCTGCGGATTGAAGAGTGAACTCGGAGCTTTGAAGACTTGAAGACTTGCACATTCGGATCTGATCCTCGGCGAGCATCCACGTCAGAAAAGACAGGATTTCGAGAGGAAGAAAGAACAGATCTGAGATCTACACGAGATCACACTCCAGATCTAAGCTTGGTCTTAGATCTCGAGATCCGGCGATTATTCCCTTGGTGGACTAATCCCTCCCGGCTATTATTCCCTTCGTGGAATAATACCCGTATAATCTGTGTAGATCCGACCGGATCTAGATCGCGCGGTGGTCCACGGATTAACCCCGGCGTTGGTAAAGAACCACCAAAGCGAGCGACCGCAAAACAGGAGCTCGCGATTTGTTCACAGAAGGAAAGTTGTAATTTTACTTTTTTCTTTGATTTATTGTTAAGCGCGATCTAGATCTATAAAAGACCGGATCTTTGTAATCCAAGATGATAATTATTTCAATGAAGAAAACAGTTTTCCCCCCGAACAAGCGATCCCCTCACGATCTCACACTACACAGTTGATCTCACTAGATCACACTCCCTCACAGTTGATCTACACAAGATCACACTCACAAGATAGTAGAAATGGTATAAGACTCTCTCTTTACAACGTCCCTATGGAAAAGAGAAAGAGCACACTGAAGCTGGGAAGTGAACACACACAAAACTCAGAAGAACAAGTTTTGAAATTTAAGCTCTGTGAAAAACAACGTCTCTGGTTTTTGCAAAAGCTGGGACACTGAGGAAGAAGAAGAGGTTGAGTTTAAATAGGAGAAAAACAGCTGTTTAAACCCATCCCTTAATCCCCTAAAATCTGGAACCAAAACGTCGCTGAGATCTGTACTGAGCGGCGCCGAAAAAGGATAAAGATTACCGTTTGAAAAATACGGCGGTCGACCGATGAAATTTTTGGTCGACTGACGAAATTTTTCGGTCGATCGCGATCCAGATCGAAAACGAGAAAAACAAACAGAGACTTCATCGGTCGACCGGTGCGGTCGACCGATTGGAAAAATCGAGCTCTCGGTCGACCGCACCGGTCGACCGACAAACTCTCTGCTACCCAATGATCATAGGTGCGGTCGACCGGTGCGGTCGACCGCATTCTGATACATTTCAGAAAAGCAGATTTTGACTCAACTAAAATATTTAGAAAATATTTATTTGACCTCTGAAAATTATGAAACTTTGTAAAATATTTTTAATACTAAAAACAAACTGTTTGGAAAAAGAATTTTACAGATAGGTCTTCATACTTGTGAAAAATAGTATTTTGTGAAAAACGCTTAAAAACATAAGTATAAAAACATGTGTGTGATATCCCAATAGCTTCAAGTGAAGTCAATAACTCTTTGCCTATATTCTAGCACTAGAGAGAATTCAAGTGAAGTCAATAACTCTTTGCCTATATTCTAGCACTAGAGAGAAAAATAAAAGATAGCTAATATCCTCATATAGAATGCAATGCTTGAGTCTTGATATAGCTTGAATAGGATGAAGCTTCTATTAGAATTTGTTGTTCTTGAAATAACGTTGCTTCATCACTATGCCTCCTCCTCCTTTGGATATCATCGTTGTAGCGCATATTCCATCCAATCCTCCATTTGTGGTACTAACAAGCTTGATATATGAATTCACTACATTTGTACTTAATAAGCCATTAGTACCGATAATGGTGGTTGTAAAACATCATCAAAACATAAGGGCTAACACCTTCTCGTCATCATTTTGCAAATGCAACAAAATTATATTCAATTTGTCGAGATGATCCTTCAGGATATCTACTTGCTTCTTTTGAATGGTGAATAGACGTGGTCTAAGATACATCTTATTGATGAGAGACTTTCTCATATAAAGTTTCTCCAACTTCGCTCATAAATCTTTAGTAGTTTTCTCTACTGATACTTCAACAATAATGTCACTAGATAGATTTAATAAAATAGAGGAGCGTGTCTTCATCTCTTGATTATCATATTCAAATTGCTCTATTTTTCGGTTTCTTTCTAGTGATTAGAGTCTAAACTCATTGTTGCTTTAGCAAAACTTGCATTTTTATGCACCGTATTCTGAAATTATTCTTTTCAGTGAACTTATCAATCTTCATACTTGGTGATGTCATATTGATCTTGATAGAATAATAAATGAACCTCACTTTGATACCAGTTTGTTACAAAGACTAAAATCAAGATCACAGTGCACTAACCTAAATAAAATCATAGAAAATATCACAAGTACAAACATAAGGATATATGTGGTTTGAACCAATTCCTACATATACGGGCAGTAGTAAATAAACTTTAGTAAATCAAAAGAGAGATCATGAATTACACAGACGAGATCAGCGATCTCTCGCACCCCCCTCTCTCTCTCTCTCTCAGATGATAAATAAATTCTCGAACAAATTGATCAATGGATTCTCTCTCTAGATATACTCTTTTTCTCTCTATTTTCTCATGAGTACTATCTTTCTACCATACCCTAGATTTGAGAATAAGATCCATTATAGGGTCAAGTTGGGGTACAAGAAGAATTCCTCAAAATGCCTATCAACGAACCTAAATAACCCTATCCAAATTAGGTTTAGAACTGCCTTAAACACCCCGACAGGCTACAGTACCATAACCTATCCAAATCCAGAGGCTAGACTGCATGTGATGGGAATAGGTGGTCTGTGCTTAACTGTAACACCCCTCCTGGAGGTACATAAAAATTGGGCATGACCCGTCCCTAATAAGAAGGGTCAACCTGCTTAATTTTTACATATACTAACACACACACACACACAAACACACACACACACACACAATAATACCGAAGAGAAAAATTAAAGTAGTGAAAATATATATGCACTAGTAGAAAAACGACCAACCTAGACGGAAATTTCCGTCTAGGTTGGTCTACAATCCGTCTAGATTGGATCATCTAGACGGAAATCCGTCTAGGTAGATTGGTTTATTCTGTTACCGTCTAGTTTGGATCAAACTAGACGGATTTTCGTCTAAATTGATCAATCTAGACGGAAACCAACCTAGACGGAAGTTATATTTCCGTCTAGATTGTTAACCTAGACGGAAATCCGTCTACGTTAACAACCTAGACGGAAAACCGTCTAGGTTGTCAACCTAGACGGAAATCCGTCTAGGTTGTCAACCTAGACGGAAATCCGTCTAGGTTGACAACCTAGACGGAATTCCGTCTATACGGAACCAACCTAGACGGAAGTCCGTCTAGGTTGATTATTACAACCTAGACGGAATTTCCGTCTAGTTTGGTTCATACTAGACGGAATTCCGTCTAGATTGCTCTTTTTCCAGCAAAAAAAAATATATTACAATTTGTATTTCCCTGTACAATTACACCAATACATGAATACATACAATAAATACTGTATATATGAATACATCCAACCATCCAAATATAATCAAGATTTTAGACAATTCCATTCAAACCCAAAAATATACAAATCCAACATAATGCACAGATCCAGCCATAATATAATCAATTCCAGCATAATAAACAAATCCAACACGCATATAAGTATTGTTATAACATCCAACACGCATATAAGTATTGTTATAACATCCAACACGCATATAAGTATTGTTATAACAGATAAAGCTGTTCATTGCATTAAAAATCCACAAAAAACCTCATAAACCTCATCGGTCGTCGTCGTCGGCAGTATCTCTATCCTGGTTACGAGAACGTGTGCTGCTCCCTCCAATATCTCCACTCTGAATGGTCAATTGAATAATCATTAAGGGGTGTTTAATACATATTAAATATAAATGAATTTATTATTTTAAGAAAAAAATAAGGTACCTGAGTGCTGCTCTGACCAGCACCGGAATTATCGCCAAGCGAGCTTATAATCCGTATAACACCACCATACGCGCTATGAGGAATCGCACCGCTTAAATATTGCATGACATACCCCAGGAGATCATCCATCGAGTTCGCCGTCAGCGCAACTCTTGTCATCTCATTAGTCACCTGGATATGTAGCTCCGAGTCAATCTTGTCAAGCAAATATGCAGAGATACGTGCGACAAATGGCATAGCCTGGAACCGAGGCGGGGCTGCTCTCATGGATGTAAATGCTGTGGAGGATGCTGTGGATGACCTCATGCTTACGCCGGGTGAAGCTCCAACACCATGCAGAGGATATCTCCCTCTCCTATGTTTAGGGAGAAATAAATATTAAATTTACCTCTCGAATTCAATAATGATAAAAAAATATAAATAGGAATGTAGTATTCAAATTGATTCAAATTTTCTACATCCATACCTATTATGACCCATCAAATGCTGTGTGAGAGTAATGTTGTCCTCTGCAGAAAGCATGTGAGGGTCCGGCTCAGATTGTTCCTCCTGCTGCGACATATACACAGTTGCAGCCTCCTTTGATGCAGCCTCAAATCCCTCCTAAAGCACAAATATATAATTATTTCATGGTAAAGACAATGTTATTTGTGTTCTCATTTCCTCATAATATTAACAACAAAATAGAGTTAATAATACTACTCAAGATATGTATAACTCTCACCACCAACTCGAGATTTGCCTTGATCTTATCTCGATTCTTCTCATCACCCCTATATCTATCACGGAAAAATGCCATACGCCGCTTTCACCCTCAAGTGTATTGGCATTAATGATTTTCCCTGTCATATTATATATTATCACACTCATAATCATACTA